GGGGGTGCGTGGGGAGGGTACGTATTTTCCCCTCCTACCACAAACAGTGCTATGAGTAACTTGTGACAAATAAAAGCCGCTGTGAATTTACTCGCATACATCATAGCTCGTTGGAAGCCTCTAGAATGAACGATCCCCTGGGTACTCCACAGAAACATTTGCAAACTCTGAAGCTGAGGAAGTTGAGTGCTCTGGTATCCCTCCGAAGAAAGCTCAATCAGTCAGCGAGGCCAGTTTTCAGGCGGCAGAAAGTTTTCAGTGCACAAGAGTGTCCAGATAAACAGCAGTGACACAAAGATCTCAGGGACCAGCAGGAGCCCACAGTGAAACCGGGGCCCTGCCTGGTGGGAACAGATCACAGGGGCGGAGAAGCACCAGCTCTCTTACTGACAGCGCCAGGAGGGGTGGGGGTTCGAACAGCCTTCCTGCAGTCAGACCCAGCACTCACAGCTCATCACGTCTGCTCCTGAATGGCCACTGTGGGTGTTGCAATACGTGATCTGCGGCCTGCAGAACCAGGTACATGAATTCTTCCACATCGAAAGAGTAGTTGGTAAACTTTGGATGTTCCCCCAGAGTGGGGTGGTGGCCCTGCAAAAACAAACCAAAACACACGTCCGTAAGTCACTGAGGACAATTTTTGCAAAAATTACTTGCGCCAAAGCAATTATTTTAATTAGGCTCTACCTCAGAGGTCAGCAAATTTTTTTCGGTAAAGCCCAGATAACACGTATTTTCAGCTCTGTGGACCACACATCTCTGTCACGGAGACCCCACTCTGTCACTGAAGGGCACGAGCAGCCACAGACATCACCTGAACAGAGGGCGTGGCTGTGTCCCAATAAAACTTTATTTATAAACACAGGTGCGGGGCCAGATTTGGCCTGCTGGCCTATAGTTTGCTGATCCCTCCTATATATAATTTAATAGATCTTTCTAGGCCCAAATGTCATGAATTTTTCTTATTAACATTAAAGGTATAGAATGAAAAATTACCCTCTTCCTCCAATTTGGAAACATGAGACAAATATGAGATTAACAACTCACTATTCCAGAGCACAATTTCTCTTTCACGTTCAGTTACAGTTTTTCATACTAATAACTAGACACTTTAAATGAATTAAAAAGCACAACAAGGTGAATTTTGCACTGAACATTACCTTATCTTGAGGGAAGACTTTGTTCTTTCTTCGCCAAGTGATGTAGTGGACGCCTCGGAGCCTGGCCAGGTCCAGGTAGCAACGCTCATCGCCACAGTTGTACCTGAGGGTCAAGGGCGTCTACACATGAGATGTTTGTCTGCAGTCCAACCCCCGTTTCTCTGGGAAAAAAGCACTTTCCAAGTAGGTTCTTGCAAAAGATCATGTGAATAGCAAACAAGGCCGAGGGTGGTTGCAAGTGGGGAAAACATAGGTTTACTGTTGTGAGTACGTGAAACAGACTTTATTCTCATATTATTATTATTGTATTATTTCCCATACGAACAACTGTAAACCTACTTTTGTCCACGCTGTATTTTTTAAAATATTCTCATAACTAGATTACCTTAACTTTACAAAACAGACTAGAGTGGAGACAGACCTGTATCAAGAGGGCTGACGAAGAATTTCATGTTCTCGTAATGCCCGTCTCTGCAGCAACGTAGCGGACTTGGGGTGGGTGAGACTTGCAAGGTCAGAGCCAATGCAGCAGGAACAGGCCCAGGCTGCTGAAGCCAAGGCCTGAGCTTTCTCCATCACATGTCTCTACTTCCTCCCGCCCTCCCTCCCTCTCTCTCTAAGAGACACAAGACTGCAGATCAAGTCCACAGTTACTTGGCTATTTCTCTAACGTGTATATTTTTAAATGGTTTGCATGGTATGGGAGTTCATGACACGTCTTTCTAAATAGTCTTCTGTTTAAACAATGAGTCATTTTTAAAGTGGACCCATGAAATCAAGACATTACAGCTACAGATGAGGCGTGGCGTGGGATTGTCACGGGAGCAAAGGCCGTGCGTCAGCCAGGCCAGGGCGCGGGAGGCCGGGGTGCGGGAGGCCAGGGCGCGGGAGGCCGGGGTGCGGGAGGCTGGGGC